GAGAAGGTATGGGAGAGGAGTGCAGGGGATGGGAAGGGAGCCCTGATATCTCTCTCCTGATATCTTTTCTAGATCATTTTAATTAGTGGACGATCTTATCATCATTGATTCCATAAAAACTTTTCTGATATATTGACGGATTGATAATGCAGTTGCTTTCTGATGTATTAACATCAGTAATAATGTAATTACGTTTTGCTGTATTGACGTCAGTGATAATATAGTTATGTTCTGATGTATTGACGTCATTGATAATATAGTTCCGTTGTGATGTATTGACGTCATTGATTAGTTAAGTTCTGATGTATTGACGTCATTGACTAGTTACGTTCTGATGTATTGACGTCATTGATTAGTTACGTTCTGATGTATTGACGTCATTGATTGCTTATAATCTGATGCATTGACGTCATTGATTGGTTACGTTCTGATGTATTGACATCACTGATTAGTTACGTTCTGATGTATTAACGTCATTGATTAGTTGCGTTCTGATGCATTAACGTCGTTGATTAGTTGCGTTCTGATGTCTTGACGTCAATGATAATATAGGTAGGTCTTGATGTTTTGATTTCGGTGATAATATAGTTACATTCTGATGTATTGACGTCAGTGATAATATAGTTACATTCTGCTGTATTGATATCAGTGATAATATTGTTAAATTTTGATGTATTGACGTCAGTGATAATACAGTTACATTCTGATGTATTGACGTTATTATTAGTTTCATAACGCAATTCACGTTGTTACTTATCTAATTAATGATAAAGACAGGCAATGAACCTTGACTTGCAGTCTTCACATATTAATACATGCACGTCATTGATGATACCTTCACATGATTGATGATATCCTAAGATGACACCCCCTCACATGACTGATATACCGATACGATTGATGTCACCTCATGATGATTGGTGATAACGGGTTTTTATTACCTTCATGCTATGCACAACAGAAGAAATTCTCGAAAAATAACCTGTATACCTACAACATTCATTTTTATTATTATTATTGTTACTATTATTATTATTTATGGGGAAGGGCTAAACCCATAGGAGTCATACAGTGCATTTAATGAGGCACTAAATATCGCTCCAAAATCGGTATGTTACATGTCCTTTAAGATGTACCCGAAGGCTGCGGAGAAAAAATGGGAGGACACGAGCGGGAAGAAAATACTGGTGTCCATCACAGCTGATGAGGCGGCGCCCCCAGCCGTAGCCCGTAGGTGATATTATTATCATTATTATTATTATTATTATTATTATTATTAGCATTATTATTATAATTATATTTTATTATTAGTATTATTATTATAATTATATTTTTATTATCATTATTATTATATTTATATTTATTATTATTGTTATTATTATTATTATTATTACCGTTGTTGCCGCTGTATTAATGGGAAAACTCGAAACTCTTAGGATTCATACAGCATTGGCGAATGGAAGGTAATCATGTTTGATTCAAGGAATCTGATAGCTTCACTTCCCGGATCATTAGCCCTTCACCAGCATCAGTGATCCAACTATAGATGTTGGTGTGCAGATGAGCAAGCTTTGATGAGTCGCATAAAACACGTTTGTAACACCAGAATTTGCATTGATAAAGCTAATGGATGGCGAAACGTCTACAATAAAGATACCCAGATGTTGCACATGTATCAAATTTTTATCTTGTCGGTACTGTGTACCATTCATGTAGAACACCTGAGTATCTTTATTGAGAGACGTTTCACCCACGCAGCATGTTTAACCAGTGTAATACCGAGGAGTGAGGAAGGGGACTTGTACTGAACCCAGAGAAGTGCGTCGATAGAAGACATCAGGACATAAATAATAAAAACAATAATAATAATCTTTTATTTCTACAAGTACATGTACAAGGTATACAGACGTAGCTGACATCAGTGACGTACTACTATATAGAAAGCTCCTTGTTATGCAGACCATTTCGGGCAAATTATAGCAATTTTGTCCCCAGGATGCGACCCACACCAGTCGACTAACATCCAGGTACGTGTTTGACTGATAAGTAAACATGGACAGCAGATGTCTTCAGGAAACACGTCCTAATGTTTCTACCCGTACCTAGGATCGACCCCCGGATCTCAGCGTGTAAGCTGAGCGCACTAGCAATCGAACTACGGGACACAATACCGTGGCTGGAACAGTTCACCATAAACCCGCACTTAGGAGAGGGAAACGTAAGATGACGTTGTGGTCTGTCGTGGATTATTCTCAACTCAAATTACGGACGGATCGAAACGTCGTCATGAGGTTTCTCCCCTAAATGCGAGTTTTTTGGTGAACTGAAGACGTGATTATATGTAGACGGGACCACACATTCAGCAGTACAGTTGTAGAAAATGTGGATTGAGGGATATGAATGTTTTTATTGGACTGTAATAAGGGAGGCCGGCAGTCGTCTCCCAGAGACGGAATCTTGTATTTTGTCTTGTGTGTAGGAAATCAATTCTCCCTCCAGAGCGAACGAGCGAAGCATGTATGGTGCTGTTTGAGTGGCTGAGGTAGCCAGAAATCTAGTGAAGAAAATTTCGCGTTTTACTATAAAGTCTTATCAGATGATGAATATAAACCATAAGAAGACTGCTGAAGAACATAAGAAGGAGCACTACAGAAGGCCTACTGGCCCATGCTAGACAGGTTCAAGCCCCACATCCGACCCACTAGTGCAAGCCAGTCAGGTTCTACTCACACCCACCCACACCCATTCGTGTATTTGTCTAACCTATTTTTAAAACTACACAAGAAGGTAATGAAGGGATATTTCAGTGTGTAAAGGTATCAGGGCGAGCTACACATGGTCTTGGTAATCTAAATCACAGGAAGTGTTAGACGGGCGCAGCAGATGAAGCTGCAGTCACATATGGGCAAGGCCCACTGGTGGCCCCTGCCCACGTGGTGATACCTTCAAATGCTGCGTCTCTTCTCTGGCTCCTCTATATATCTCCATAATGACTCTGTAATGGATTGGTAAAGACTGCTTCACTGGCGAAACCTATTTGTTGCACGTTTTACTAATCAAATCTTAGGTATTATAGTAGTATACCAGTAATGTATAGGAACTTTTTTATTTACAGACGACGTTTTACTCTAGACTTATAAAGCTCTTAGAGTGAAACATCTGTAAAATAGGTTTCTTGTGCACATAGTGTATTTTTTTTTTACACAGAGTTTGACAAGGCTAGGTTAAGGATCCCTAACTTTATTGACAAGCTATTAACAAGTTAAGGATTCCTAACTTTATTGACAAGCTAAGAGCTGTTACCTACATCAGCTCATTTGAAGGCATTTTTATTGTTATGAAGCATGCAAGTAGGGAACTGGATGAAGTTGGAGCCTTCCGTGAGCCAGCATTTTCATTTGATCAACTGACTTTATCTCGTTGACATTATAATGCTGTACGAATGTGTTCCAAACTCGAGTCATCCTGGGGATAAATTATCTCAGATAAAGTGTTGTTCTGGAGAAGGGTACAGCCAGAGTGAAGATGTTTTCTGCCCGTCTTGTGGTACAGAAGTTTGCTTCTCGCTGTCCTCGAAGTGGATCCAGGTGTGGTACTTGGACAATGTTGGTCTTGTACATAACAGTAAGGCCACCCATATCCCTCCTGTGTTGAAGGCTCTGCTGAAATGACAGATGTATCCAGGATGGGTCCAGGTGAGAGATGAGACGTCTTGCTCTGTTCTCTATTCTGTCAAGCAGTCGCAGATGAGATGAGGGGCAGGTAAACCATGTTTCTCTTCAAGTTTCGCCACCCAACGCAAAAGAAAAAAAAACAGGTTGCAGAAAAAGGTTTTATTGAGACGTTTCGCATAGCTTGAGCGTTACCATATTGTTCGCATCGTTTTGTGTTGCTAGTGTTCTATCTTGTTGCTTGTGTTGCCTGTGTACCGTCTTGTGCTGCTTGTGTTCCTTCTCGTGTTGCCCGTGTTCCTTTTCGTGTTCTCTGTATTCTGTCTTGTGTTGCATATGTTCCGTATTGTGTTCCCTGTGTTTCTTCTCGTGTTGCCAGTTTTCCGTCTTGTCTTGCCTGTGTTCCTCTCCAGGTTTTATATTTGTTCCTCTCTAGTGGCTAGCGTAACTTCCGCATGAGTGGTATAACACCAGCTGAAGCAATATTAGTAGCAGGATCAGTGACATCAACATTACTAGCAGCAGCAGTAACAGCAGTAATAATTTCAGTAGCAGCAGTAGTAACAGCAAGACCGTTATCAGAGGTGGCAGTTAAAAGTCGCAGCTGCCTGAAAACAACAGCAGTAATATCGGTACTTCCAGCAGCAGGAGTACCAGCAGCAGACATAGAAGCAGTACCACCAAAGTGACCAAAAAAACTTTAAATAAGAAACAGGAGCAACAAAAACCGTAGCAAAAAAAATAGCAACTGCAAGGTTAACAGCACTAGTAGTAGGAGTGGCAGTGGTAGCTACAATAGTAGTAATAGTAGCAACACCAGCAATACCACCACCGCCGGCATACATATATGACTGGAAGGACGATACAAGCAACTAAAAAGCAAATCCAGTATTAAGAGTAGAAGAAACAGTAGCAACAGTGTACATGGTATCAGTATTAGCACACAGGGTATCAACAGCAGCACCATATATAACTAAACAGGAAAAAAGAAAGTCAAGAAATAAACAGCAATAAGAGACAGCAGCAGTGATAGGAGCTGAAGCAGCAGTGACAGCAATAACAAAGAAAGCAACAATGATAGGAGCAGAAGCAGCAGTGACAGCAATAACAAAGAAAGCAACAGTGATAGGAGCAGAAGCAGCAGTGACATCAATAACAAAGAAAGCAACAATGATAGGAGCAGAAGCAGCAGTGACATCAATAACAAAGAAAGCAACAGTGATAGGAGCAGAAGCAGCAGTGACAGCAATAACAAAGAAAGCAAGATAAGCAAGAGAAGTAAAATAAGCAGCAAGAGTTGTAGTGCGGCAAGGGAGGGCGAGTGTGGCAGTGCTGGCATGGTAGTGTTGTGGCGGTGGTGGTGGTAGCAGTATAGTGTTGGTGGCTCGGCTACTAGCTAACTGCTAGTGGCAGCAGTGGTGGTGGTTGTGTTGGTAGTGAGGGGAGAAGCAAGACGTGTTCACGTGTGTGTTTTTAGGATCGGCCGACTGGGTGTATCCGACCCAGCTCGCACAAGTTTTGCAGGCAAACACACTACTAACTTTCTTTTGTCTGCAATCGTCTGGATCATAGTCCATTACGCAGCGGTGAGTTTAACTTTCCTTCTTTGGCGTAAAAGTGAGTGTTGTGTGCTTGCCGATAATCGCAGGCAGACAACCACTCAGCGTGTGGATACAAGGGGACGGATAGTGTGTGTGTGTGTGTGTGCGTGTGTGTGTGTGTGTATGTATGTATGTGTGTACACTCCTGGAGTTGATTCTAGTAGTTTTGTTGCTTGTGTTCTCACTTACAAAAACATGAGTGTCATCGTTGTATAAGAAGACGTGAGAAATAACGAGCTGAGCTCTCTCTCTTTCTTTGTCTTGTTCTCGCTATATTTCGTTCTTTCTCTGTCTCTCCCTTCATATCTCGCCTCTCTGTCTCTCTTTCTCAATAACTAGATGTGGAAAAATAAAAACTGATTAATAAGTGCTCAAAGTGAAGACCAAATAAAAACCTCTTGCCTATTTCTAATGGACAACATGCGTAGTAATGTGGAGGTGAGGAAGTAGGTGTGTGGAAGTATTGGTCATCGTCCCTGCTGGTGCTGCTGGTGTCCTTTTATTACTACTAATAATACAAACACATAGATGAATAAGACATAGGTGCAACGCCTGGGTGTCATTATTTTAAAGACGTTTCGATATCCAGAATTTTTTTCAATTCTAAAAGGAGTGTATGTATGCACTGGAGACTATAGAAGATGAGATAATCAGTCCTTCAGCCTTGTCTCCTGTTTATATTTTCTGTATTAATTTGAAAAAGCCACTGGATGGGGAAACGTTTTCATATTAATGATACCCTGGTGTTGTTGCACGTATCTTATTCATCCATGGTGGTGGTAGCCGGTGATGGTGATGGTTGTCGATTATGGTGGCCCTTAAAGGTTGTTACTTCAGTAACCATGTATTGAGTGTCTCCACTTCCTGGCACGTGTCACTTCATCACTACCTACACAATGAGCAGGTGCTTTCTAATATCCATAGTTCATCTGTGTATTTAGCATCCACCCCGTGTCCCTGTGCTCTTCGCAACACTGTGGCAGGGTATTTGACTTGCAACGCAGGCTCAGTTCTGGGTGGGAGCAAGAGATCGGCAAGTCTCTTAACACTTACTGAACGTGTACACCTAGCATTAAATTACCTAGGTGTTAGTCCACTGCTGTAGAAGACTTTTTTCCACCTTTTAACTATATCGAGCAGCTTGTCTACACCCCATAGATATCTTGTAAGTCGTGGCCTCGTCTCTGATTCTCTCTTTTTCCAGTGATAAAACGTAGTATCCAAAATCTTTTCACGTGGCTCGGATCTCTCAGTAGCGGGAGAAATCTGGTGGCAGACTTGTGTGTTGTTTTTTCAAGTTAATTTTCATGCTTGACTGGGTGAAGTCTCCATGCTGGCGCTCGTGTGTGTGTGTGTGTGTGTGTGTGTGTGTGTGTGCGAGCGACACATCTGTTCAGGTTTGGTTTTAAGGTGTTGGAAGAATAGGATGACCAGTGGCCACGGAAAGGCAGAGAGAGAGAGAGAGAGAGAGAGAGAGAGAGAGAGAGAGAGAGAGAGAGAGAGAGAGAGAGAGAGAGAGAGAGAGAGAGAGAGAGAGAGGCAGAGACAAAGACTAACGTTTAAAAAATAACATACTGTCATTTAAAAGCAATATATACTTAAAAGACATACATTACACAAGTATAGGTTGATAAAGCACTCTAGTGTAAGTGTAGTATAATGTGATGTACTCAGTCTAGTGTAAGTGTAGTATAATGTGATGTACTCAGTCTAGTGTAAGTGTAGTATAATGTGATGTACTCAGTCTAGTGTAAGTGTAGTATAATGTGATGTACTCAGTCTAGTGTAAGTGTAGTATAATGTGATGTACTCAGTCTAGTGTAAGTGTAGTATAATGTGATGTACTCAGTCTAGTGTAAGTGTAGTATAATGTGATGTACTCAGTCTAGTGTAAGTGTAGTATAATGTGATGTACTCAGTCTAGTGTAAGTGTAGTATAATGTGATGTACTCAGTCTAGTGTAGTATAATGTGAAGTATTCACTCTCTAGTGTAGTATAATGTGAAGTACTCGGTCTAGTGTAGTATAATGTGAAGTATTCACTCTCTAGTGTAGTATAATGTGATGTACTCAGTCTAGTGTAGTATAATGTGAAGTATTCACTCTCTAGTGTAGTATAATGTGAAGTACTCGGTCTAGTGTAGTATAATGTGAAGAACTCGGTCTAGTGTAGTATAATGTGATGTACTCAGTCTAGTGTAGTATAATGTGAAGAACTCGGTCTAGTGTAGTATAATGTGATGTACTCAGTCTAGTGTAGTATAATGTGATGTGCTCAGTCTAGTGTAGTATAATGTGAAGTACTCAGTCTAGTGTATTATAATGTGATGTACTCAGTCTAGTGTAGTATAATGTGATGTGCTCAGTCTAGTGTATTATAATGTGATGTACTCAGTCTAGTGTATTATAATGTGATGTACTCAGTCTAGTGTAGTATAATGTGAAGTACTCAGTCTAGTGTATTATAATGTGATGTACTCAGTCTAGTGTAGTATAATGTGAAGTACTCAGTCTAGTGTATTATAATGTGAAGTACTCAGTCTAGTGTATTATAATGTGATGTACTCAGTCTAGTGTAGTATAATGTGAAGTACTCAGTCTAGTGTATTATAATGTGAAGTACTCAGTCTAGTGTGGTATAATGTGAAGTACTCGGTCTAGTGTATTATAATGTGAAGTACTCAGTCTAGTGTAGTATAATGTGAAGTACTCAGTCTAGTGTAGTATAATGTGAAGTACTCAGTCTAGTGTAGTATAATGTGAAGTACTCAGTCTAGTGTATTATAATGTGATGTACTCAGTCTAGTGTGGTATAATGTGAAGTACTCGGTCTAGTGTATTATAATGTGAAGTACTCAGTCTAGTGTAGTATAATGTGAAGTACTCAGTCTAGTGTATTATAATGTGAAGTACTCAGCCTAGTGTATTATAATGTGATGTACTCACTCTAGTGTAGTATAATGTGAAGTACTCAGTCTAGTGTAGTATAATGTGATGTACTCACTCTAGTGTAGTATAATGTGAAGTACTCAGTCTAGTGTAGTATAATGTGATGTACTCATCTATTCTAGCTTTGTATCATCTTTTGCATACGATTCAGAAATTTGTATCAATGTTACCTCGGTAGAAGTCACCGAAAAATTGCGAGAAGATATAAAGTCTTCCAGTGGGTGGAAGAAAATAATGTGATGTTCATTAGGTAAAAATTCCAATTATTCAGATGTGGAAAGAATGAGAAAGTCAGTAAGGAACTGTATACACAATACAGGAAAGTCAAACCGTAAAACGAAAAGGACATATAAAATACTGGGTGTAATAATGTCAACTAACCTATCTTTTAAAGGTGAGGGGCTTTTGATTTAAGGACTTGGACCTGTGGTCCCCTTTCTTGGATCAAACCTGAATACTTTCCATTCCTCCCCAGGCGCTGTATGACCCCCAACAGGTGTAGCGCTTATGAATATAAGAATAATAAAGCAAACGCTGCAGCACCAGGAATTTGACAGGGTGGATAATGAGAGTTTTGATAACAAGAGAAATAATGCCAGTGGTGAGAATATTCATATTACTTGTGCTCAGTCGTTAAGACTACTGCTCAGTATTGACACTTTCATTCAAGGCAGGGCCAGATAACAGAACTGGGAAAAATACAGCTAGTGTTTACTGCCCACATAAAGCCAGTAAAACATGTAAACAACTGGGAACACCGCAAAGAACTGGAAATGTACTTTCTGGAATGAACCGAGTGAGATAAGCAGTAATATGTACATGAAGGCTACTGGAGGGACTAGTCTCAAATCTGCACCGTCATAACAACGTACTAGAGTGAGAGAAATGGGCGGATGTGTAAAATAGACCCAGTGAAAGGCAGAGGAGCCATGGGCATAAGAGAACACTGTCAACATCAATGGGCCTCGACTATTCAACTTGCTGCCAGCAGATATCAGAAATAATACTGGAACAAGTGTTGTATTCAAGAATAACCCGGATCACTACTTCCGCCAATCACCAGATCAACCAGTGATGAATATGTGAACCAGCAGGTCACCAACAGTAACAATCTAGTTGACCAGGTAATAAACATGGAAGACTGGCCCCAGGCCTTGCCACGAGAGTAGGAAAACGCTCAAAACGTGTCACAGGCAAATCACAAGTGTAGTATAATGTAAAGCACCCAGACTTGAGTAGCATATTATGAGCGTAGATCATGTGTTGTAATGTGTCTTGGTCAACCTGTCTCCACTCTCCATTCTACTTGCCTCACTTCCTGGTCATCTGTTTTCTCTTCATATCTTTTGTCCCTTCAAGAGAGGTGCCTTCATGCTAGTGAAGGGCTCTTTATCCAAGGAATCGGAGCTACCGTCCCATTAGAAGAAACCTGATTACCTCCTATTTCCCAGGCAATGTATGACCCCTACTGGTTTACCTCTTCCCCATTATTATTATTATTATTATTATTATTATTATTATTATCATTATTATTATTACATTCATCGCATGTCTAAGAAAATACAATAGTTTAAGAACTTAACTTTAGTTAATTCAGAAGGATTATAAAAGAATAACCTAAAAAAAAAGAAAGCCAAGCATTTAACGAGCCACAACACCTGAGTAACTTCAAGCTACTTATTTACTGCTATAAGATCATGGGCAGCAGGTGTAAGGCGGCATTTCGACTCTTTTCAACCCAACCCATTAAACGAACACTTGTCCCTTCCTTTTATGAGCCGAACGCTCAGTCACTGAGGTATTATGTAGCCAGCTGTTATCTACTAACACTACTACCTCATCTACCCACATTACCTGTCTCGTATCTGTGGAGGTTCATCACCAACCTCTAAGTATATCTACATTAAGTTATTACCAAACAATAAACAATCAGAAGGCTAAATAATCCAGTGACATAAGAGACAGGCGCATGAGACACATGTGTCTTAGTTCATAATGCAAACAATCGCCTCATGAGAATTTCCCATCGTATCTGT